CTTATTTAAATGTAAATTTTTTATTAGTAGCATATCCCATGGTATTACTCACAAATGTATTTGTGAACCTGTCAGTCTCAGTCAATCGGCTGCAACAACGTATGTGTTTATACAGAAATGTCAACTTAAGAATTGGTGTAATGGATACACAGTGTCCTATTGCCATAGTAGTGCTAGAATGTGTCTTATTCTTTATGCCACAACCTTGTTAAAGAGCTTAATTTACCAGCTTTTTGCCTGTTATTCATCTGTTGTTCTGTATCAGCAATGTATTCCTCAAGGCAAATAAATGTAATAAGCTCAGTAATTCAAAGGTATTTCTACACTAGTATTTTATAACACAATTCCCTTATTCATGTGTCATTAGGAGGAGTACAGATCAATTTCAGATAGCATTTTAAAGATTAATTTAAAACCAAAGATTGCTACAAGCCCTCTCCCTTCTACCCCTAGTTCTTCTGCTCTCAAGGTTTAGGGTTTTACCTCCCTGGGGGAGCAGTTCCACATGGTGGCTGAGTGGAATAATGGCTTGCAGCCATGGTCCTGCTCCTTCCCCTTTCTCCTCCCACTCCTGGAAGGGAGGTCAGGCCACTCCTTTCCACCTGCTCCGGCACTGGTCTCATCCCTAGCTGAATGAGTTCAGTTCAGTGAACTGGCAGAAAATTGCATGTTTTTTCTTGATGGGCTAGACTTTTTGCTGATTCAGCCAAGCAAAATTCTGCCATATCACATGTGTTACAGCTTGTCAGGTTGGGCAGAAACTTCAAAAGCATCACGGGGGAAAGTGAAGCAAGGAGAGCACATCTCAAGGCTACCTTTCTTGTAATGACTGTTACAAAAATTCTGCCAGCTTAATAAAAGGATTTGGCTTACCCAGGAGTCACGTGAGTGCCAGAGCTGGCACAAGGAAAGCAAGTGCGCCTGTGGGAGTCACTCTTTCAGCTCCAATGAGCTCCTAGATTGGCTCGGCTGGTCTTATGGCACTGCACCCCTAAGATGCCACACTGGCAGATGTTTGGGAGCTGTATGAACTCACTTTGGACAAAAAAAAAAAATTACTTATATTTAAACACTGAAATGGCCAACCCCCAATAGCATACCTAAATGGTTTTAGATTGCTGGGACCCACAGCTCCTTACAGAGCCCAAAGATCAATCTTTTTTTAATGAGGAGCTGAGTGCCTTTAACTGGAAAAAGTTGATAGTGTTGCTTCTCTTCCCCTCATTTTGCCTCCTCCAAAACATAGTTTCATTAGCTAAGGTGAATTAGCATGTGGGTGCAACAAAAAAAGGTCAGGGATATGTGAAGGCCTCCTTAAATTGGCTATCTGCCAGTGGAAATATGACAGTGAAGTGCATGGTCCAACAACAGTAAATTCAAATTCAGGATTCCTACTTCTGTATCCAAAATGCCATGGCTCAGGTAGCATCAATCAGGTTCTTAATACGATCCTCCCAAGGAATCCATTGCCCATCAAGAAAGGAGACAACAGTGCCATCAGGGATACATGGTACAGCATATAGGTAGAACATCACTCATGGTGATACTTTTCCTTTAATCCCCACTTATTTTCAAGTAAACACTCCAGTAAAACAGGGGAACTGTGAATGGTGGTCAGTCTAACAAATGGACAGTCACAATGAGAAATACACGAAAAACAGCAATATACTTAAATTCCAAAACCTTGTTTTAATGGAGTATCTCTTATACAAAAGACATCTTGCTAATCATATCCTTGTAACATATTCCACACTCAACCCTTTTTTTCCAGAGAAAAAGTTAACTTCTCTTGTGCTAATCACCAAACTGAGTCTCAGTTTTTCATCTGATCTTAAGATCAAATTTTATTTTTCAGCACTTATACTGGAAGGAATAGTAGGTATTTAGAGGATATCAGGATCCAATTCCCCATTGGAAAAAAACTCTCTCTCAAGCTAATGATGCACTAAAGCACTGACAGCATAAAAACAAATGCTTGTTTGGTCTTGTTCTGAAACTGAAGTCTTGCCCTCTGGCCAAGAACCAAATGTGCTACCAGATGAGTGATACAGAGACACTGAAGAGCAACATGGAACAGTAAGACTGCCAAGACTGCACTATGTCACCCTCACATCCAAGGCTTTTGTCTGAGTTTAAAAAAAAACAACCCCCCCCCAAACAAAAACAACCAAAAAAGTCACGAATAAGTACTCCTTTGTCTGGAGGCATATAAATCTATACATGACTGTACCATAAGGAGCTTGGTAACACTCATGTAACATTAGACCTTTTAGCAGAAATCTGACACATCCAGTTTTTGCTGAAAGTGTTTGTGTGCATTTTCCATCACAAAAATTACCTGTCTGTGAGGGATTTTTTTTTTTCTTTTTGGTTTTAAATAGAAAGCTTTGTTGCCTTTAATTTAGCTTGACTGCTATGGTCAGGCAGAACTCAGACTTGAAAATAAAGACTGTTCAAATTGCTAAACTTCAATGTGAAAAACACTAATAAGTATTTCTAGGACATTCTTCATGTTTTAGCTGGGAAAGGGATGATCTACCCTGAAAAAAATGCCATGTACATTAGGATACACTAAGATATATGAAGAGTTAGAAAGAGAGAAATGAGTGGTTACATGCACTCATGAGAAAAGGAGGTACACTTATAACTACAGTGATGTAATTTCTGGCACTGCATAGTAAATCAAGTTTCAGTTTCAGTATGGGATACCCACGTTGACATAGTTATCAAAGACAAAGCCCTTCTGTGTAAGTTGGTTTAGAAAATAAACTGTGTCAGCAAAATCAGTATAGGACAGTAGAACTGCATCTACATTTGAGATCTGGTTGAAAGAAAAATGCCTTGAAAAATTAAACACCTGCAACCAATATAGCTACATCAGGAAAAATTTCTATTGTAGACCTGGTATAAAAGCTAAATATCGCCTGTGTCTATGGCCCTGTGTAAGCAGCATCCTCCCATAAGAAGCAGAATGTTCCCACAATCGGAGTCCAAGGTCGAAACTGCAAGGGCAATGATCCGAGTCTTGACTGTACGCTTTCCCATAGATACCTTCCAAGTCACAAACTCATAAAAACCACAGTTAGATTCCACAGTCAGTCTAGTAATATGTACCTCATGGGAGAAGTGCTAGTCAAACCAACTAAAAGCTTAGGGATACTCATTTTCTAAAACTTGACAAGATTTATCTCTGAAGTTAGTGGAATCCCCCCCCCAAAAAAAAACCCCAAAACAAAACCCACCAGCAAACCCACAAAAAAACTAAGAAGAAGGAAGAAGACTAAAAAGGTAAGAAGAAACCCTCTAAAATCCCAACGTAACAATGTTCAGAAAACACTGATGAATACAACAGGGAACAACAGAGAATGGCAAGGAAATGTTCTAGAGAAGTAAATGAGTGTTTTCCCATTACCAGCGATACCTTTCAAATGAAAAATTTGGTAACACTTGATATTATTAAATTTCTTTTGGAATTCTAAGCTTTTTTTTTTCTTAAAGGATGTTCGGTGAAGTGTCATTGCTACTCCAGGGACCCAACTGACCTGTCTGCAAACTGTAGACATCACTTCACTGATGCAGTATAACAGTTCTCCCCTACTGCAAAGCCAATAAAGGGCTTTATCATATTTGGGTCTGTGGAAAAAGGCATTTCATAGGTAAAACCTGCATTTGGAAAACAAGGTTTACTTGAGGCAGATAACTCACCAGTGCTTTATATAAAAGTGCCTTTTGTGCTGTTTGTAAAGAATAGCCCTTCTGAGTCCAATTGTGAAGAAATACTTGGAGATAAAGGACTATATACCTATGTAAGCTGATAGGGTGGGACTGACTTCACAGGGAAAAGAAATTGCTGAGATTCAGCCTGAAGTCATTCTGTTTCTAAGAAATCCAAAGCACTCAATGATATTTGCTTAAAAAACATGCATACTTTTATTGAAAGAAAATGTGGCTTTCCAGGGGTCATTTAGACATCCCTTGGTAGCAAATAGTGATGGAGCAGGTACAGAAGGTTGCTTGCAACTGGCTGCTTTCTCTAAATCTGTGCCAAAGTTCTTCCAGATCACATGAAGTGTAAAATGTTTCTGTTTTAACCCTCATGCAGCACACAGAAGTAACTCTTTACTTTCTGTAGCCATTAAGTACTCTTCTCTGCTGCACCTACTTTTAGTTAGGCCAATTGAGAAAGTAAATGTGCTTATTTTTCATTCAAGAGTAAAATCACATTTGGACAATCACTATTCCCGTATCCCTCCGGTGTAAACATCAAGCCTGAAAGGATTATTTCCTTGCTTTGGAGTACATATCCCACTCGGAGAAGATGGGTCTCAGAAAAGTAGGTATCTGAGTCTAGAAGGAAAGATTCACTTCAGGACAAGCGGAGCCTGAAAGGAAAATCAAAATTTTTTAAACCGATGGATGGAACAACGTAAGATCAGAAAGATGAGCCATGCATTGCAAAGCAGAGGAAGGGAATTATTCACAGGGGATGGTTTCATGGGGGACCCACATAGAGGCTGCAGAGGCACAAGCCCCACGACACCCTGACGGAGCCTTGCTTGCCCCCCAAACTCACAGAGCCACCCTGGTTTGGGCAGGAACATGTCTGCTTCTCCCTCCCCACACAGCAGCACTAAGGTGTTAATTAGGCGCACGGGGCAGCACTCCTTAGGACAGGCACATGTAAAAGCCCTTGGCATCATTAGCGGCATCTCCTCTTTCCCCTCCAGCGGGAATTACATTCCTCGGGCCAATTCCGCCCTCCCTCCCCTCAATACACCTTCTCCTTCTCCCGCCTCAGACCGCTCGGCAGCACGCCGGCCGCCATTTTGCGACGAGGCCCCGCGGGGCTCTCAGGGGGCGAGGGCGGAGGGCAAGAGGGGAAGGCGGCGTGAGCCGCCTTCCTCATCCCACCCTGCCCTGCTCAAAAAAGCTCGGGATAACAGAAAACCGGCCGGAGGGGGAGAGAAGGGGCGAGAAGGAAGGGGG